CCCCCCCCCCCCCCCCCCCCCCCCCCCCCCCCCCCCCCCCCCCCCCCACCCTAATAGAAGACTCCTTTAATAAATGAAGCAAAAGACATATTAGAAGACTCCTCACAAAATCGATTTTTTTAAAATAATTTCTGGAACCTAGTGGCATTTTTTAGAATTCAAGTCCATAATGATGTCTAAGTTTAGTATGAACAATATTTTACTTCCATCGTGATAACAATCTGTCAGTTACAAGTTTGAAAAATCTTGAGAAGCGGCTAAGACGAAACAACTGTGTATAAAGTCATATGTTTTTTTTGAAAGCATATCATGAAGTCATTATAGTCCTTCGTTGCAGCATACTCTGGAAAACTTCATTAATTTCTATACGCAGAAAAACCTTTTTATGACCGTACGATCTAGTAGACGGAGTCCACATTCGCGGGTATAGCATACGAAGGGATCTTTGTAAAATAGTAACATATTTGATAAAATTTCGTTTTGTATTAATTAAAAAAGCTTGTTCGTCTATAAATTTCTTCTAGAGATTCAGAAACGTGTTTATTTCAAGACAGATTTTTATATTTGAAGAAAACCTAACTTCATGCATATACTTCGAAGTTTGTTCGGTGAGTATTTATGCGTCTGAGAACGAATTTCTTTGTTCAATACTGCCCAAAGACATTTTTCGAAAGAAACATAAAAGAAAACACAGAATGTGTATTCAACTGCTGTTTTTCTACAAACTATTTCTTCAGAAGACAATCATATTCATCGAAGTTAACTTGTGACCAATATTTATGTTAGTGGTAGATTTCATCGGAACTAATTCCATCTGTACTAATCGAACCTCAACATAAACAGTTGCCCTAAGTAAATTCGACAAAAAGAAGGTCGTTTTCTTTCTTTTAGTTATTTAGTTATTTAGAAGGTAAAATGTTGCCAGTGACTATAGAATGCTTTAGAAAAAAGAATTCTATTGAATATTGTACCAATATGCACTGGCGGATCCACCATTTCAGCTATCCGGTGATCACCATTCTACCCCCTCCCCCGTGAAAATAGAAGTGACGACGGAAATTTTTAAAATATTTGAGTAACAATAAAAGATCGAAAATAAAATCAGTAAATGAAGTTATTGGAGTGATCACGAGGAAGACTAGGAGGGTCTGAGCCACCTTCTCAGGATTGTTTGAGTCTTTCCTAGAAATTTTTTAGTTCTCACGAAAAATAGAATTGTTTTTCGTTTGAGAGGCTATTCTGAGCAGAGGGAGCAAGACACTTGAGTTCGTCCTATGCAATATCCGATATTTTTCTTTGATAAAATGGAAGAACAATATTAATTTTGTAAACCAACGGAGAAATCGATTAACTTCTTTCTGATTGTAGAAAGTTTTCGATCTAGTCATTGTAGTCTCAATATACTTTCATAAGAAAGATAGAGAAATTTTTGTGTTAGATTCAAATTATTCATCTGATCGGCAATGAATCTGTTTTCAATAAGTTTTATTTGGAATTATTCATTACGACTTTTAGTAACGTGTCGAAGCATGGTCGCCTACGTTGCCATTGTGTACAGGACGATATTGAACTAAATATATTATTTAAGTAATTCATTCGTCCAAAATACTCTCGTAAATTAACTCATACAGACTACTAAAAATGCTTGTTCCATTCTTATCGGTCTCGTGCTAAAGAAAACAAGTTCAGATTTCTCTTCTGGAAAAATCATTTACTGAGAAATCTGAGAGGTACAAAACCGACTTTTAATGTGAATTTACTTACCGAAAAATCTGTGATATCAAAAATGAACACTTTTCATTTAAAGCGATTCGTGACAAGAATAACGAAGATTTTGTTGCAACGATGTTTTACGGCTATTCTAGGTGGTTCTCTACATTTTCGTTTTTATCTGAGCTGTAGCCAGTAGTGAAACGAATCACTATC